AATGTCCCCGGTCCTCGGGGGCGAGTGCTCCTGCACCAGGGCTGGGGCAGCAGAAGCAGCATCTTCGGAGGGAGAGGGCCTGGTTTGAGCTCCTCCTCCCATTTTGTCTTTGTTTTCCCGTTTCCTTTTTGTGTTAACATCTACACATCTGGCAGCGTTGAGAATTCCTAGTGACCGCCATTCCAGGCAGCAGCTTTGAGAACATGGTTGCCGGCGACCCCTGGCAGGTCCCTTCTCCTGGCTCCTCAGCAGAAGGCGCCCCGTGTCAGGGCTGCGGCCGTTCTCAGTGGCGTTTGCCGCCAAGCTTCCAGCGAGATGCTGGGTGAAGGCTGAGGCCCCGCGGCCCTGCCTCATAGTCACAGAGAGAGCTCCCCACTTGGCCCAAACTGATAACCTGCCTCATTCCCTGAAGATTTGGTGAGGCCTAACAGATGCACACCACATAACATCTCAGGGGCGAATCAAGGCAGAGCAATGTAGTGGAGCCTGAGGGGAGCCGGGCACTGCCACAGGGGGCTATGCACAGGGGACCCTTCCTGGCCAGAGGAGCCGAGGCAGCCTGGCGCGTCCAGCAGCTGCACGCAGGGGCCTCTGCCACACCTCTGGCAGTGGGCGTGGGAGCCCCCCTCTTAGCTGGCTGCAGGCCTGAGTGTGCTGTTCTGCCCACGGTCATTTCTTTTCAGGGGTTTTTCTGTAAGACTGAAGACGACTTCAATGACTGGTGCCAGCAAGTTAAAAAGGTTTGTTGCCACCCTACCGCCCCGCACCGAGCCGAGCCACCCAGGGAGACAGGCAGTGGGGCTTGCAGGGGCTGAAGGCTGGCCTCCAGGTCTCAGGCAGCCTCACTGGGCTATGGGGAGCCTTGTCCTGCCTAGCACAGCTTTGCAGCTGAACAGAGTGGGGCATCTTTGATTGCCCCCCTGGCCACACAGCAGCCCTAGGGACAGGTGCTTCACGCTGACTTGAGAGTGGATTTCCAGCGTCCTTGTCCGTCTGCTGTTGGGATGGGGTGGTGATGGGTGCCGAGCTGCGCTGGCTGAGTACGTGCGGCCTGCCCCTCTCCGCCATTGTGGTCAGACTGTGCTGGGTGTTGGCCACCATACTGGGTTCTCGTGTAGCCTTTAGTGTGGAAGTTGCCTGTTTTCTCATCTGTGAAGTGGGATGACAAGTTGTGTTTGTCCCCTGGCTGTAGCCGGCCGGCCCCTTTCTCTTGGCTGCAGGGAGCCCTGGGGTGAGGCTGCACCTAATGGCCATGTCTCCCTCACAGCTGTCTCTGCTCGGAGGTGCCCTGCCCATGTTTGAGCTGGTGGAGCAGCAGCCTTCACACCTGGCCTGCCCCGACGTCCTGAACCTGTCCCTAGGTGAGCGCTGCAGCTGCAGGGCCAAGCCCGGTGGGGCCCCTCGGCGTGCAGTCTGTGCCCTTCTTGTTCCCCAGCCCTGGCCCCCTCGGTTTTGACCACTAAGGTGTGTGTGAGCCTCGGCTGTGAGCAAGTTGGCGGTGGTCGGCCTGCAAGGTCAGACGCAGAGTGGAACGTCCCCTCCTCCGAGCTTTCACCCAGCAGCCCGGGACCCGCCTCACCTTCCCCACCTGTGGTGCCTGCCCCGGGCATGTGGAGCTGGGTGTGCTCCCATGGAGTCCTCAGGGCTCTGGAGCAGACAGAACACTGAGGCCTGTGATGACACCGTCCTGGCTCAGGGACTGTACCACTTCAGTACCGCTGGCCATGGGTGGTGCAGACCCCTGGGACCATGGCCAGCATGCTCAAGGAGCCGGCCTGGGCTCGTGCAGGGAAGCAGGTGTGTGGCCGTGAGCACATCGTCCTCATCTGTCTCGCTGTGAAAAACTGCGAGGCAATGGACCCACACAACTGACGACCACGGAGGGCTGGGTGCAGCGAGGGAGACACAGGACAGAGATTGTGCAGGCCGCCCCCGCCCTCCTCACCCCGCCCCCTCCCCTTGTACTCCATGCGCCCTGGGCCTGTTCATACACCCTGGGGACAGCTGCCTGTGGGCCCTGCAGGGTGGGCTGCAGACCAGGTGCTCAATCTGCCCCCACTCCAAGGGCGTTTCACTCACACCCAGGTAGTCTCCCCGAGATGACTGATGAGCTGTGTCCTGTCCCTTCTAGATTCTTCTGATGTAGAGCGACTGGAAAGATTCTTTGACTCAGAAGATGAAGACTTTGAAATCCTGTCCCTTTGAAAATCCTGGGGTCGGGGGATGGCACCTGCGAGAGCCGGGCCCTGTCTCGGGTTCCGTCCATCCCGCCCGCTCGCTTGCCGAGGGCCGCGCCCCGTGCCGCCTCCCCCCAGGGGGCCGCCCGCTCTGCTCGTGGACTGAGGCTGCGCTGCCCGCGAAGCCTTACTGCTTGGTGTCAGACTGCCCAGCCCAGAGCGCCTGTCAGGGCCTGTGCACCCGCACCCGGAGCCGTCGGTTAGGAGCTTCCAGAGCGTTCTCTACACTGCCAGCCCTGCAGTCGCACCTGGGCCTCAGTCCCACTTGCTCCCAGGGACCAGTTCTGTGGCTGGTTTGGAATTAAATCCTGTTTGAAGTTGTCAGGCACAGACATGAATTTCTGGGGCACCTCCCGAGTCCGAGTCTCAGAAGACCTCTGCAGGCTGGTGTGAGAGGCGTGACGGCCACACTGCGGCCCCAGGCCCGAGGACTGGGCTGCTCTCGAGGGTGCGTGCCCACAGCTGTGTCCTCTCTGCTCAGCCTGGCTTACCAAGGGCTACCTCAGTGGGAGATGAGGTTGGAGGAACAGAAGCAAGGTTCCTCCTTGCTTTAGGGAGAAGAGTATTCAGGGAGTGGGTGTGTGGGAAGCCTGAAGATACTGATGTGCGCAGGGCGCGGCCTGGGCAGAAGGGCGGCTGCTGGAGCTGCTGTCCTTAGCGTCCCTTTCAAGGGCTGTGGTATTCTGTGGTGCCACTGCAGCTGATTCGTTACTCCAGCTTCCCCAGGGGTGGTGAGGGGTGGGGCGGGGCCTCCACCTGTGACAGTCGGGCCTCTCCCAGGAGCTTTCCCGTGTCCTTGCCTTGCTGAGAAGTGCCCTCTTGGGTCACTGAGGTTTTAGGTGACTTAGGGCCAAAAGGGCAAAACCACTCAAGCCTTGGGGCGTGTGACGGGCAGACACCACAGGGCAGCACTTCGAGAACCTGCTCATCCCTGATTCCAGCACCCACCACCGCCTGACCCTGTGTAACCTGCTGTCCTGGGTCCCCAAGTGCGCTCGGCCCCGCTGCTCCGCCGCCTGTCACGGGAAGGTGGGTTTGTTTGCCCCATAGGACACGTAAGCAAGAGGGCTTGGGGAGCGTGGGTGTGGCGGGCTGCAGGCGCCCTTCTCACGAGCACCCGCCTCGGTGCCCGCACGACTTGCTACTGCTTGTATAGGAGAGGGGCTTGGAGATGCCCCGGGACAGACCCACCAGGTGGCAGAGGACACTCCCAGTCCCCCAAGCATTGATGAGACGGTTTATTTCCTCGTATCCTTTCTCCCTTGGGTGGTGTTGGGGCGTGGGATCTCCACTCCTGGGGCTCTGTGTCCGAGACCACGGTGTGCCGCCGGGCTGGGCTTTGGGCTGCTGCGTGGAAGTGGTGGAACACCCTGACCGAAGGGGAGCTTTGTCTTGCGTGTTTTGAAAAAGGCTTAACAGAATGTTGTTCATTCTTAGTAGTATAGTTTGCAATTCTTAATGGCAAATAATAAGTTTCAGTAGAAAACAAACCTTGCGTGTATTTTTTCCTCAAGTTAAAACTGAATGATTTCCAGAAAAACATAAGTGAACGTCTCAGCTGATAGCGTCACACGTAGCGGATGTGGCTGCCTGTGTGGCAGCTGTGGGAGCATGAGCAGGTGCCTCCCTGTCCCTGGCAGGGGGCCTGTCCCTGCCTGAGGCCCGGCTCTCCATGGGCCGTGCCATCTGTCCCCGCATACAACCCTGGGAGGAAAAAGTCCAAGGAAAATCAGACTTTAGGAAAGTCAGATGGTGCTTCCCAGCTGCGGAGTGCCACAAGGTGCAGGGTTTGCCTCAGCTTGAAGCACAGGAAAGCCTTCCTCACAAGCAGTGACTGCCGGGGGCACAGCAGGGGCTTGGCGAGGACATCCTGGTACAGGCAGGAGCGGGCACTGCGAGGCCCTGGTGAGCTGGCTGAGGACTTGTGTTCCCTCAAATGCTTGTGTTCGATTCTCGGAGCTGCTCTGACGACGACATTCGGTGCCCGGAACAGCACAGCCGCTTCTGACCGCGCCGCGGGCAGGGCTGCTCCTGTAGAGACCTTAGGGAAGAACGTTTCCGTGTCTTTCCCAGCTCCTGGACACCAGGAATTGCTGGGCTCATGGCTCTTTCCTCCAGCCTCACAGCCAGCAACACAGCATCTCTCCAGCTTCCACTGCTGGCATCGCACTTCCTGTCTCGGCCCCACCTGCCTCGGTTATGTGGACCCCTGTGATGAGCCGGGCGTGGTGGCACACGCCTGCAATCCCAGCACTTTGGGAGGCCAAGGCGGGTGGCTCACTTGAGCCCCCCAGGAGTTTGAGACCAGCCTGGTTGGCAACATAGCAAAATCCTGTCTCTACAACAAATTAGCCAGGCATGGTGCACAGGCCTGTAGGCCTAGCTGCTCGGGAGGCTGAAGTGAGAGGATCGATCCCGAGCCCAGGAGGTCAAGGCTGCAGCGAGCTATGGTCTTGCCACTGCACTCCAGCCTGGGCAACAGAGACAGACTCTGTTTCCAAAAAAATAAGAGATGGGATGAAAAGCTGCGGGGTTGCAACGAAACAGCAGAGTTAACTTAGGTGTAGGAGGATGTAACCTGTGCCGATGCCCGGGAATGGCGCGGCTGCGACTGTTCAGACCCACAGGGGAATTCCTCAACTAGGCAGGAACCAAGGTCCAGAAGCCCTGCTGGGCCCAGTGAAGGCTCGTATGCCCTGCGATGGGAGATTCCCATTCAAAGCCAGCTCAGTCCTTAGACGGTATCTAAGAAAAATCCATAAACAATTTTCAGGCCAATTTTTACTAGAGTCTGGAAGACATTTCAGAGGTAATTCCAACTGATTACCATTTACAGTGATCGAAATGGAACTGCGCAGAGTTACCAGTGAACATCAGTAAGAAAATACAAGAGTATCCTCAGGACAAGGAGGAGGGCAGGAGACCGCTCCATCACTCTGCTCGCGTCTACACCGCCGAGGTCCCCACCACAGGGGTCCCTGGTGCACCCCAACTCCGGGGCAGGAGAGGCAGCCTGCGTATCTCTGCTGCGAGGAAATAGCTGAAGTGGAGTGTGGGCAGCGCTGGGGACACAGGCCTTCCACAGGTCTCCCACCTCGTGAGACTGCAGGGCGAGGCGTCCAGCGGGCAGCCTGGGGTCACTTCCACAGCTCCCCCAGTGGCTTCTCTGTGGCCGTGCGGATGGCGTCCTCAGAGAGCACAAGGATGTCCTCATGGACAGCTTCAATGCTTTTGGAAGCATCCACCACCTGTTCCCACAGGGGTTTCAGGAGAAAAAGCAGCTCATCAGCACCTTCCAGGATGAGCATGGGAGCCCACGCCTCTAATCCCAGAACTGTGGGAGGCCCGTGAGGGAGGATGTGCCCAGGAGTTCAAGACCAGCCTGGACTACATAGGGAGACCCCATCTCTACCGGCACCACTGTACTCCAGCCTGGGGGACACAGTGAGACACTGTCTCAAAACCATGTTTCATTTTGTTCTCTGCAAGAGGGGCTTTCACAGGCCAGGCTCCTGGTGACCTCCAGGACCCTTCACTCTACGCTTTTTTCAGAACCTCAACAGTCCATGACATAGAGCCACCAGGCATTCCTGCCACAGCCCTGATGCAGGAGAAACACGGTGAACAGCCTGCCCCCGCCTACTCTCCTTGTGACCCCAATCCCAGCAAGTGCCCGCCTGCAGGAGTGAGGCACAGCCAGGCCCGCCCAGCCCACCACGCACACCAGGTCGGGGTGACTGTCCCTCCAGCTCGAGAGCAGGGACTCGGAAGAACAGAGGGCAGGCCCATGCTCCTGTGTCTCCTGGAGGTGCCTGGGCACTGCCTGGAATGTGAGGAAGTTCCGTTACAGAAGCCACGCAGCGGGACCAAGGCAACACTGGGCCTGCCTGGTCCCTGAGGGAAGGATGAATTTGGTCCTGACAGCTGTGCTGCACCCTGGCATGAGTGGTTCAAGGAACACGGGGAGGGAGTCGGCCCACAGGAAGAGACTTCTCTCCACCAGAAGGCAGGCACGTGAGAGGGGCTCAGGAGCATCCCGGCTTCTGTGGCTCGGTTGAGCAGGCCCCTTCTCAAGCCTCTGGGACAGCAGGGTCTGGAAAATCTGCCAGGGCATCAAAGGTACTCCAAGACTAATCATTTCATGAGGTGTGACCATGATGAAAGGAGAGCGAGTCCCTACACAAGGCCACCTTCCCAGATGCCACTTGCTGGCCAGGGTGCCGCCACACAGCCGTCACCCAGAACTGTCCAGGATGGGCCTCTCCAGGCAACTGACCGCCAGAGACTGCAGCACTGCCGCAGAGTGCACGGCCGCCCAGCCTGCGTTCTGGGAAACCGGAAGCTGCATCTGCAGGCAGTCGGGCTGGGGTGAGGCCCTCGGCCTTGCTCTAGTGGAGGAGCTCAAGGGACCGAAGCTCTGCAAGCCATGGCCACAAGCCACAGTGCTGATGCTCGACGTGCCGGAAGCCCTGGCTGCTGGAAATAGGCCGTGCTGGGCAGTGCTGAGCATGGGCCCCTGGAGTCTGGGAGAGAAGTGGGGGCTGCGGTCGGGAGGAGCAAAGGTGGTCAGCCTGCGTGTCCTCTGTGGGGGAGAGTCCAACATTCCGGGAGTGGACTCCTGGGACTGCTGAGACGGAAGGACGTGTGGCTAAAGGGAAAAAGCCAGCACACAGCGCCATCCTGAACTCCAACGGCCAGGTGCAGCTACAGGGCCCCACGCCAGCAAGAGGCTGCACCAGACGACACAGTGGCAGGACCAGGCTGGCGCTCATGTCTGAAGAGGGGCCGTGGATGTGGAGGGCTGTGCAGACTCTCACCCGACCCACCAGACCAGGTGTCAAATGTCACCACTGTGTAAAACTCACCAGAGGATTAGAATTTGCTGGCACTAGGTTGGGCGTGGTGGCTCACACCTGTAATCCCAGCATTTTGGGAGACTGAGGCGGGTAGATCATGAGGTCAGGAGTTCAAGACCAACCTGGCCAAGATGGTGAAACCCCATCTCTACTAAAAATACAAAAAAATTAGCCAAGTGTAGTGGCAGGTGCCTGTAATCTCAGCTACTCTGGAGGCTGAGGGAGAGAACTGCTTGAACCTAGGAGGTAGAGGCTGCAGTGAGCCAAGACTGCACCATTGCATTTCAGCCTGGTTGACAGAGCAAGACTGTCTATTAAAAAAAAAAAAAAAAAAAAGATTTGCTGGCATGGGCCTGGTACAGTGGCTCACACCTGTAATCCCAACACTTTGGGAGGCCAAGGCGGGCAGATCACCTGAGGTCAGTAGTTCGAGACCAGCCTGACCAACATGGTGAAACCCTGTCTCTACTAAAAATACAAAATTAGGCAGGCATGGTGGTACATGCCCATAATCCCAGCCACTTGGGAGGCTAAGGCAGGAGAATCACTTGAATCTAGGAGGTGGAGGTTGCAGTGAGCTGACATCGCGCCATTGCACTCCAGCCTGGGTGACAGAGCGAGACTCTGTCTTAAAAAGGGGCTGGGCACGGTGGCTCATGCCTATAATCCCAGCACTTCAGGAAGCCGAGGTGGGCAGATCACCTCAGGTCAGGAGTTTGAGACCAGCCTCGCCAACATGGCGAAACCCCGCCTCTACTAAAAAATTTAAAAAAAAGGAATTTGCTGGCACCGAGAACCCCAATCAGCTGCTCCTGGGGCTCCATATCGGGGAAGACCAGACAGAAACGGCAGCAGCTCTGCTGGCGCAATTGCCCCCGTCACCGCAGTTAACCCCAAGCCACTTCTCAGTGATTCCTAGTGTGTGGTTCTGAGCCTCACCTTCCAGTTCACGGTCGTGTCTCTCATGAGCTGGTGGAAACACTGCAGCGCACGCTCCTGGAAAGCCCCATTCTCATAGCGCTCATGGCCAAACGCGCTCCGCTTGGCGGCATCCGCCAGCTGTAACTGGAGGAACAGGACCAGGTCGGGTTTGGGAAGGCCCACGTCTGGCTGCTTACACCAATCTAGGGAAAAATTCTGCCAACAAAGAACCCAACAGGTAAAGCTTAGTGTAGTCTAGATTTTCGTTTCAAAAATCATAAAAATGGGGAAAACTGAGGGGACATTTGGTGAGGTACCGAGAAGTGAGACTGTGAGATGGAGCCTCACAGTCGCCGAGGCCACAGTGCGGTGGCACAATCGCCGCCTCCTGGGTTCAAGAGATTCTCCTGCCTCAGCCTCCCGAGTAGCTGGGACTACAGGTGTGGCACCACGTTCAGCTGAGTTTTTTGTATTTTTAGTAGAGACCAGGTTTCACCATGTTGAGATGGTTTCGATCTCCTGACCTTGTGATCTGCCCGCCTTGGCCTCCCAAAGTGCTAGGATTACAGGCGTGAGCCACCACACCCAGCCCCCTCTTTTTTAATTTTTTTTTTTGAGATGGAGTTTCGCCCTTGTCACCGCTGGAGTGCAATGGCGCGATCTCGGCTCACTGCAACCTCCGCCTCCTGGGTTCAGGCAATTCTCCTGCCTCAGCCTCCTGAGTAGCTGGGATTACAGGCACGCACCACCATGCCCAGCTAATTTTTAGTATTTTTAGTAGAGACGGGGTTTCACCATGTTGACCAGGATGGTCTCGATCTCTCGACCTCGTGATCCACCCGCCTCTGCCTCCCAAAGTGCTGGGATTACAGGCTTGAGCCACCGCGCCCGGCTCTTTTTTAGTTATTAAAACCTCAAATGTATGGCTTTCTCCGATACCATCTTCTCATAAACACATGCACAAATGGACGGAAAAGCAGGTAGAATGGTTCCTGGTCCCCATCACACACAGCACAGGCCCCATGGAGGCCCTTTCAGTATAGCTACAGGCCTGCTGGCCAGGAGGAACGCTCTGTACGGAGCCCCTGGAGACCTCTGGCCCAGGACACCTCCCTTAGCCTGTCTCCCCCTAAGATGCTGTTTTGTTTCTGGAGGAAAGGTAGGGCAGAAAGGCCGTGACTCCAGGCCACACAGCGCACACGGCACCATGAGCTGAGGGAAGGTGTCCGTCAGCGCCTCCTACCAGGCCTGCGGCTCTGTTGGCTGATCCCCACAGCAGGAAGAAGTCCTCCTTACTATACAACTTAGTACTTCAGAGGGGACAGACTGAAGCTAACACATGAAGAAATGGCAGAATTTAAAAGTTAGGGCGGTTATCATGAAAAATAACCAGACATTATCCTTCTTTTTACTGTCTCTTTAAGGGACAGAGCTGGGCACAGCTGCTCACGGTTGTAATCTCAGCACTTTGGGAAGCTGAGGTGGGAGGATCACTTGAGCCCAAGAGTTGAAGGTTATAGCGAGCTTTGTTCCACTGCACTCCAGCCTTGGTGACAGAGGGAAACACCCTCTCTCAAAAAAAGGCAGGGAAAAAGTACTACCAATGAACCATCTTTGAAAATACATCTGGAGGCTGGATGCAGTAGCTCACAACTATAATCCCAGCACTTTGGGAGGCTGAGACAGGTGGATCACCTGAGGTCAGGAGTTTCAGACCAGCCTGGCCAACATGGTAAAACCCTGTCTTTACTAAAAATATAAAAATTAGCGCCGGGCGCGGTGGCTCAAGCCTGTAATCCCAGCACTTTGGGAGGCCGAGGCGGGTGGATCACAAGGTCAAGAGATCGAGACCATCCTGGTCAACATAGTGAAACCCCGTCTCTACTAAAAATACAAAACTTAGCTGGGCATGGTGGCGGATGCCTGTAATCCCAGCTCCTCAGGAGGCTGAGGCAGGAGAATTGCTTGAACCCAGGAGGCGGAGGTTGCGGTGAGCCGAGATCGTGCCATTGCACTCCAGCCTGGGTAACAAGAGCGAAACTCCGTCTCAAAAAAAAAAAAAATTAGCTGGGCATAGTGGCATGTGCCTATAATCCCAGATGCTTGAGAGCTGAGGCAAGAGATAGCTTGAACCTGGGAGGCAGAGGTTGCAATGAACTCAGATCGCGCCACTGCACTCCAGCCTGGGTGACAGAGTGGGACTATGTCTTGAAAAAAAAAAAAAAATGCATGTGGAAAATATCACCCAAATAACAACTATGATTCTATCTGTGAAAACAATCTTTAGCTATAAAAATGTTTGCTCTTCTTAATAAAACCAAATTGCCAGCCACAGTTGCTCACGTCTGTAATCCCAGCACTTTGGGAGGCCAAGGCGGGTGGATCACCTGAGGTCGGGAGTTCAAAACCAGCCTGGCCAACATGGAGAAACCCCATCTCTAGTAAAAAATACAAAATTAGCCGGGTGTCGTGGCACATGCCTTTAAGCCCAGCTACTCAGGAGGCTGACACAGGAGAATCGCTTGAACCCAGGAGGCGGAGGTTGCGGTATCCGAGATTGCGCCACTGCACTCCAGCCTGGGCAACAAGAGCGAAACTGTCTCAAAAGAAAAAAAAAGATAAAACCAAATTAATCTAGCAAAGATATAAAAGGAATGTAAGAACCAGAAAACTGCAGAGTGATCGAAGGCATGTCACTCGTGCTGTAACAGGCGCATTCAAGAGCAGCCCTGGGCCCACACGCCTGTGCTTACCCGACAGGAGGCCAAGTGCACTCACCTCCTTGGCACCTGAGAAGGCCACACCAGAAAATGCGTATCTGTCCATGACGAGGGTCACACCCTGGCTCAACTTTTCCTTAATTAACGGCCTGAAAAACAGAGGATGCTCCTGAGCCCCGGTCCTGGTTTCACAGGCCTTGAACTGTCATGCTTAAATTATCCCAATAATACAACTCAAAAACCCCACACAAGTATAGCACAATGACTTGTAACCTGATTTTTATTCAAAAAGGCGCTTGCTGGATCTTCTCTGGAAGATGCCACATGCACTCCCCCCAGCAACCCAACATGGAAAAGAGATAACCTCATTACAAAGTAACAAACACATCTGGGAAAGTTCCATGTTCCAGAAACAACGCAGGGGAAGCAGTAATGTCAGGGCAGATCTGGGCAGAGAGGCCAGCACCACCCTGTGCAGGGAAAGGAAAGCACAGGCCGAGAAGAGAGCCGGCGGTGGGGAGGGGGCCACAGCCAGCAAGTGACACGATCGTCCATGCTCATGGCCCCTTGCCTGGACTGCAGGGATGTTCTCAACCAAATACCACAGGCCCATCTGCACCCTACAGCCCCAAGATCACGGATGTACAAAGACATGGGGCCTGCTACTACCAAGCAGCCTTGCTAAAGCCAGAGAAGGAAAAGTCAGACTCATTTGACTCAGCCAGTCTCACTGGGGCCTTCGAACCATAGGGGCACCCGCATAAGGAGTCAACTGACCTCTGACAAAGGAGCAGAGGGATGTGATGGCGCCAAGGCAGTCTCCTCAACAAACTGCTGAACACCCGCACATCCTCACGCAACAGAGTAAATCTAGACCAGACCGTTTACCCTCAAATCCAAAACGAATCACAGACCCAGATGTGAAATGCAAAACTGTCAAACTCCTAGACAGTGACACAGGAGAAAACTTAGATCACCTGGGTTTTGGCAGACTGTTTAGATTAAAAAAACTAAACGAACAAGCCATGAAAGAATTAAGATAGACTTCACTAAAATAAAGTTTGTGCTTTGTGAGAGACACTGTCAAGAGAAGGAAAGGACAGCTAAGCATGGTGGGTCACGCCTGCAACCCAGCACTTTTGGAAGCTGTGGTGGGATGGATCCCTTGAGGACAGGTGTTTGGGACCAGCCTGAGCAACAACAGTGAGACCTCATCTCTACAAAAAATGTAAAAATGAGCCAGGTGTAGTGGCATGCACCTGTAGTCCCAGCTACTCCAGAGGCTGAGGTGGGAGAATCACTTGAAGCCAGGAGTTTAAGACTGTGGTAAGCTGTGATTATGCCATAACATTCCAGCCTGGGCCACAGAGTTAAGATATTTCTCTTTATTAAAAAAAATAAAGGCCGGGCAGGCAGGGTAGCTCATGCCTCTAATCCCAGCACTTTGGAAAACCAAGGCAGGAGGACTGTGGTGTCCAGCAGTTCAAGACCAGCCTGGGCAACAATAGTGAAACTTTGTATCTACAAAAACAATTTTACAAAGATTAGCTAGGTGCGTTAACGGGCTTGTAGTTGCAGCTACTTGGGAGGCTAAGTCGGGAAGATCACTTGAGCCCGGGACGTCGAGGCTACAGTGAGCTGGGACTGCAGCACTGCACTCAGCCTGCATGACAGAGAGACCCTGTCTAAAAAAGAAAGAAGAGGGCCGGGCGCGGTGGCTCACGCCTGTAATCCCAGCACTTTGGGAGGCCGAGGCGGGCGGACCATGAGGTCAAGAGATCGAGACCGTCCTGGTCAACATGGTGAAACCCCGTCTCTACTAAAAATACAAAAAATTAGCTGGACATGGTGGCGCGTGCCTATAATCCCAGCTACTCAGGAGGCTGAGGCAGGAGAACTGCCTGAACCCAGGAGGCGGAGGTTGTGGTGAGCCGAGATCGCACCATTGCACTCCAGCCTGGGTAACAAGAGGGAAACTCCGTCTCAAAAAAAAAAAAAAAGAAGACAGTGAGAAAACTGAACATAAACCACAGCCTAGGAGAAAATATTTACAAAAGACACATTTTATAAATGGTATCTAAACCATAAAAAGAACTCTTAAAACTCGAAAATAAGAAAATCCCATTAAAAAGTGGGCCAAGGCTGGGCATAATGGCTAACACCTGTATTCCCAACACTTTGGGAGGCTGCGGCAGATTGACCACTTGATCCCAGCAATTTGAGACCAACCTGGGCAATACGGTGAAACCACGTCTCCTCAAAACAAAAATACAAAACTGGCCAGGCACAGTAGCTCATGCCTGTAATCCCAGCACTTTGGGAGGCCAAGGCAGGTGGACCACCTGAGGTCAGGAGTTCAAGGCCAGCCTGGGCAACAGGAAACCCCATCTCTACTAAAAGTTCAAAAATTAGCCAGGCATGGTGGCAGGCACCTGTAATCCCAGCTACTTGGGAGGCTAAGGCAGCTACTTGAACCCAGGAGACGGAAGTTGCAGTGAGCCAAGATTGCCCCATTGCACTCCAGCCTGGGCAACAAGAGCAAAACTGTCTCAAAAAGCAACTTAGCATGATGGCATGCACCTGTAGTCCCAGCTCCTTGGGAGGCTAAAGCAGGAGGATCACTAGAGCCTGGGAGGTAGAGGCTGCAGTGAACCAAGACTGTGCCACTGGACTCCAGCGTGGTTGAGACCACGTCTCAAAACAAGAGTGGGCCAAAGCACTTAACAGATACCTCATGAAACCAGATACACAGATGGCAAGTAAACATAAGAAAAGATGTTCCACATCATATGCCATCAGGGAAAAACAGATCCCACAAACCCCTATCAGAATGGCAACAATCCAAACACCAGCGCCACCAAATGCTGGTGAGGATCTGAGCAATGGGAACCCTCATTCACTGTGGGTGAGAATGCAAAATGCTGCAGCCGCTTTGGAAGACAGTTTAGCACAAGCTTGTCCAACCTGAGGCCCCACAGGGTGCATGCCACCCCATACAAATTGGTAAGCTTTGTTAAAACGTTATGAGTCTTTTTTTTTTTTTTTTTTAAGCTCATCAGCAAGTGTTAGTGTTAGTGTATTTTATGCGTGGCCCAAGACAGTTCTTCCAGTGTGGCCCAGGGAAGCCAAAAGATTGGACACCCATGGTTGAGCGTTCTTTAGAAAAATAACAGTCTTACCGTATGTTAAAGCAATGGTGCTCCCTGGCATTTACCCAGAAGAGGTGAAAGCTTATGACCACACAAAATCCTGCAAGCAGATGCTTATAACAGATTTATTTATAACTGCCAAAAGTTGGAAGCAATTAAGAGGTCCTTTAGTAGGTGAATGAACTACGGTACATCCAACAATGGACTATTTAACTAGGACGAAAAAGAAATGAACTATTGGTCAGGCAAGATGGCTCATGCCTGTAATCCCAGCATTATGGGAGGCCAAGATGGGAGGATCACTTGAGGTCAGGAGTTCAAGACCAGCCTGGCCAACATGGTGAAACCCTGTCTCTACCAAAATATAAAAATTAGCTGGGCATGGTGGTACATGCCTGTAATCCCAGCTACTCAGGAGGCTAAGGCAGGAGAATTGCTTGAACCCAGGAAATGGGGGTTGCAGTGAGCGTGATTGGGCCACTGCACTCCAGCCTGAACAACAGAGCGAGACTCTTGTCTCAAAAAAGAAAAGGAAATGGACTGTCAAGCCATGATTAGACACAGAGGAAACTTAAACATGTTAGTGAAACAAGCAAGCTGCAGGAGAACAGATGGACAAAAGAGATGTAGCCCTGGGCACCTGGGACAAGATCACTATCTCAAAGGTAAAATCAAGGCATATAGGTATTTCATCACTTTTCTACAAAGCCACAAAAAGCAAAATCAGAATAACTGTCTCCATAAATTCTAGACATGTTAAAAGGATTATAGAACTGGTCACATTTTCACTTAAGACTAGGAGTGGGGATGGCCTTTCCAGGTAAGACGCAACACTAAGCCAGAGGAGAGTAATGCAGGGCTTCACGTGACAAGGATCGGGGGAACCACGGCGAGTTTACCAGCAGGGAACTGGATCAATGTACCGTCAATCAGCTTTTCCAGAGAACACGCCACAACAATGAAAAAGAACGAGAAGGGCAGAGTTAGGGGAGCCGGAAGTGCATAAATCTGTAAGGCAGAGTTAGAAAGTAAGCTGCCAAATAACATGTCTGGTATGACCTCACTGATGTCAGAGAAACCAAAATTCTAACCAGTTTCTACACATGTATATAAACACAAATAAAAACATCTGAAAGAATACACTTAAGTGTTGAATGAAGAGGAAACCTATCATTGGTAGGTTATTAATATAAACTATAACCTTCAGTTAACAATTTAGCAATTCTAGGTATCAATTTTAACAAATATAATAAAGCATAGAAATAATGAGGGAGGGGAAAGGCAGGGGTAGTATGTAGGGAATTCTCTACATACTCTACTTTTTGATTAGTTTTTCTATATACCTAAAGGTATCTTTAAAAGATTAAGTCTATGACGCCAGAGGTTCAAGACCAGCTGAGCAATATGGTGACACATTGTCCCTACATTAAAAAAAAATTAGTTGGGTTTTGTAGCATGCACCTATGGTCCCAAGCTACTTGGCTGCTTAGTTGGGAGGACTGCTTGAGCCTAGGAAGTTGAGGCTGCAGTGAGCCATGACTGTGTGTCACTGCACTCCAGCCTGGGCCACAGAGCAAGACCCCATTTCCCCCCCAAAAAAAGGGTCAGGCGTGGTGGCTCACACCTATAATCCCAGCACTTTGGGAGGCAGAGGTGGGCAGATCACTTGAGGTCAAGCGACTGAGACCATCCTGGCCAACATGGTATCCAGTAAAATACAAAAATTAGCTGGGCATGGTGATGCACGCCTGTAGTCCCAACAGGAGGCCAAGGCAAAGAATCGCTTAAACCCAGGAGTTAGAGGTTGCAGTGAGTCAAGATCACGCCACTGCACTCCAACCTGGCAACAGAGCGAGATTCTGTCTCAAAAAAAAAAAAAAAAAGAAAAGAAAAAGAAAAAGAAAATCCAGAAACTGGCCAGGCGTGCTGGCTCCTGCCTGTAATCCCAGCACTTTCGGAGGCCAAGTAGGGTAGGTCACGAGGTCAAATCAAGACCATCCTGGCCAACATGGTGAAATGCCATCTCTACTAAAAATACAAAAAAAAATTAGCCAGGTGTGGTGGTGTGCGCCTGTAGTACCAGCGACTCAGGAGGCTGAGGCAGGAGAATCACGTGAACCCAGGAGGCAGAGGATGCAGTGAGCTGAGATCGCACCACAGCTCTTCAAGAGAGCAAGACTGTCTCAAAAAAAAAAAAAAAAAAAAAAAAAACCTAAAAACGTAAGTCTATTAGTTATGGTGTGTGGGAGCAGGAGGAAGAAACAGCATTCATTAGCGCCCTTTGAGAGCTATGGGCTTCACCACCTCTGCTCACTGGACTGCTAAATAAAAGAACCTCAGGCTCCAGCATCACTGTCACTGTCGTTCAGAATCCGGTGCTGCATTTACTGAATCTCAGAAGAAAGCAAAGTGCCAGGGAAAGAGACAGCAATGTGCACTGGTTTTTACACTTGTTCCCAGCGGTTTGCAGAAAAAAGCAGGTGCACCGAGTGATCCTCCAGGTCACTTTTCTTTTCCAAGTAGGAACTCAGAAGTTTGCCAATTTCAGTTGATCTTTCTAGAAAAAAAAAAGAAAAACACACAAAATACAAGTGAGGTCAGGCTTTCCCTCTACATTACAATATAGTTTGGGCTGAATCGCTCCTGGATTGAAGTCTCACTTTAACTTTACTAAATCTCTAGACAGGTTTCGACCTTCTGCGGAAGCCAAAGGAATTTCTCTGAGAAAGAACAGCAACGTGCAGAAAAGCTGGAAGAAAAATGCTTTAGGAAAAATGAGCTCGGGTAGAAAGTAGAGACTGCAAAGAAAGCATTTACAAAATCTGTGAACTGGCTGGCCTAAAATTAAGGTCAATGCTTTACTTGAAAACTTTTATTAAATATATGCTATAAAACCCCTGAAAGCACAAAGAAACAAAACACCCGAAAAGCCCATGAAAACGAGATATGAGGGCCGGGCGCGGTGGCTCACGCCTGTAATCCCAGCACTTTGGGAGGCCGAGGCGGGTGGATCACAAGGTCGAGAGATCGAGACCAACCTGGTCAACATGGTGAAACCCCGTCTCTACTAAAAATACAAAAAATTAGCTGGGCATGGTGGTGCGTGCCTGTAATCCCAGCTACTCAGGAGGCTGAGGCAGGAGAATTGCCTGAACCCAGGAGGCGGAGGTTGTGGTGAGCCGAGATCGCGCCATTGCACTCCAGCCTGGGTAACAAGGGCGAAACTCCGTCTCAAAAAAAAAAAAAAAAAAAAGAAAGAAAAGAAAACGAGACATGGATTACAAGAGAGCTGGAGAAAACTTCTGGGGGCGAGACCCCGGTTTCGCGCGGGTTTACACGTCAGGCGTCACCAAACCCCGCACTTCAAAGACGCGCGGCGTGGGCCGGCCGTGGTGGCGCGCCTGCGGTCCCGGCTTCCCGGGAGGCTGCGGCGGGAGGATCGCTGGAGCCCGGGAGGTCGAGGCTGCCGCGAGCCGAGACGGCGCCACCGCACCCCAGCCTGGGCGAGAGCGAGAGCCCGTTTGTGAAAACGAAAACCGCGCAGCTGACGGCACGTCGGCCGCAGGCAACGAAGCGGCGCGAAGAGCCGCGGAGAAGGCGGAGGTGCCTACGGCCGCGGCGCACGCCCGGCCCCCGCCGCGCGCACCCACCCGGGAAGCGGAGCAGCTCGGCGCGGTGGCCCAGGGCGCACAGCGCGTCCACCAGCCTGCGGCTCTGCGTGCTCTTCCCCGCGCGGTCCATGCCCTCCAGCACGATAAGCGCCCCGCGCCGGGCCGCCATCGTCGCCCGCCGCCCGCCGCCCGCCGCCCGCCGCAGACGTCGGCACGCCGCCTGCCGGAGCTCCCATTGGCCGGCGTCAGCAGCGCGCGCCGTGATTGGCTGGCATTTCCCGGCGGGGGCCGGACTCGAAGGGATCTGCCGGGGCTGGCGCGAGGGCGACGCGCCGTGGGACCGACGCCCGCGCCTGCGCCTGCGCCTGCGCCGTGCTGGGCTTCCGGGCCGGAAGCAGGTGCGTCCTGTCCGGCGCGGGCCTCCGTCCTCGGGCGAGCCGCGCCGGTTGCTCCAGCGCCGCTGACGCCGCACGGGCCGGGCGGCCGGAGACGGGGGGTCGGGGCGCGGACGAGCGGAGCGCGGGGTCGGCGGGTTCCCGGGCGCTGGCCGCGGCACGCCCCGCGAAGGCTCGGGTCCGGGGCGCGCGAGACGCCAGCGAGATGCTTCCTGGAGCGCGGCCCAGGGCAGGGCCTCAGCTGGGCGCCTCCCGGAGCTCACCGGGGCCCACCCCGACCGCGTCTGGAAACGCTGTGTGGGGCAGAGCAGGGGCAGGACGGGGCCGTGTAGACGCTGGCCAGCCCCGTGGCCACTGTAGGAAAACCGTGGGATTGATAACGTTCACTGTTGTTCCTGCAGCTCAAGACGCAGGGCTCTGAAAAGTCCGTTTTGAAAGACGATGCATGCAAATTGTAGCGCGGAGAGAATGGGCGCGTTGTCTCCTCTCCTCCCTGCGCGTCCTCTGAAATGCGGGGCGGGATGGTCATAGGAGAGACTCTGCCATAGAGAGGTGGGAAAAGCCCACGAAGTGTCCCTGGCATCCAGACGGCGCTCCGTGATGTCTGCTGTCGTCTTAGGGATGCTCGGGCTGCCTGGGCATTTCTCAGCTGAGACTTTGTTGCGTTCGATATCTGAAATCCCGCTGTCTGTATGTGCCAACTTGTCAGCTAAACGTCACTTTCTCTGCATAGCAGAGGAGAAGGTAGGAACTGCATTTCCCAGAATCGTCTGTGTAGCCCTGGATTACAGTCTGCCCGAGAGAGGCAGTCGTACAGAATTTCGAGGTGGTTATTCTTGGGAGGCACTCTCAGCCAGAAATGGAAATGAAATTCAAGGCTGTTTGCTTGCTTGCTTCCTTTCTTTCGTTCTCTCTCTCTCTCTCTCTCTCTCGACAGTCTCGCGCTGTCACCCAGGCTGCAGTGCAATGCCGTCCACTTCCCGGGTTAAAGCGATTCCGCTGCCTCAGCCTCCCAAGTAGCTGGCATTACTCGTGCCCGCCACCACGCCTGGCTAATTTTTGTAGTTTTTTTTTTTTTATTTTTTTTTATTTTTATTTTTTTTTGAGACGGAGTTTCGCTCTTGTTACCCAGGCTGGAGTGCAATGGCGCGATCTCGGCTCACCGCAACCTCCGCCTCCTGGGCTCAGGCAATTCTCCTGCCTCAGCCTCCTAAGTAGCTGGGATTACAGGCACGCGCCACCACGCCCAGCTAGTTTTTTTTGTATTTTTAGTAGAGACGGGGTTTCACCATGTTGACCAGGATGGTCTCGATCTTTCGACCTCGTGATCCACCCGCCTCGGCCTCCCAAAGTGCTGGGATTACAGGCTTGAGCCACCGCGCCCGACCTGTAGTTTTTATTTTTTTGAGACGGGAGTTTCTTGGGTCCCAGAGTGAAGTGCAGTGATATGATCTCAGTTCGCTGCGACCTCTACCTCTTGGGTTCAAGCAATTCTCCTGCCTCAGCCTCCCAAGTAGCTGAGATTACAGGCGCCTGCCACCATGCCCAACTAATTTTTGTATTTACAGGGTTTCACCATATTTGCCAGGCTGGTCTCCAACTCCTGGTCTCAGGTGAGCCACCCACCTCAGCCTCCCTGAGTGCTGGGATTACAGGCCTGAACCACTGCACGTGTCCTACCCTTTCTTCCTTGACATCAAGCTTAGCTGTGAGACTTCCAAACGCTGATATAAAGGGGTCACCTGTCATGTGCCCTGTTCAGGCAGAAGCCTTCGAAGTTGCTTTGTGGTCCGGTCATTCCCCTTCTGCTCCTCAACATGAGCACAGCATGTGCACAGTGAGGGCTGATTTTTCACCCCGATTCTGTAACAAAGCCACTGTAGCTGATGGAGTGCACCAGCAAGAAGTAAACCTTGAGTCACTGAGACTTCAGGATCCTTTGTTTTCACAGCACAATCTATCGAACTCTTCTAAGTATTAAGAATGGTACTTATTATTCTCTTACATAGATAAGTCATGAAAGTAATGTCCTCTCTTCTGATTGATGTTGCCTTATAAAATACCATCTTGTTGCCTTCCAGAGGATGAAGGGGATTGTAGTAAGGTAGACCACCTTCCCAGGGCTGGGCATGACTGCAGTACTGCCTTGTCATATCCAGGAGGACTCAGGTGGATGAGGAGGAAGACAGTGCCTCCGCCTTGGTGGATGCATCGCTGTCCTGGCTCCCCTGGGACGGGGAAGGAGGGTGAAGATGGAGGAAACCTGTCTGGCTGGGCCTTGTGTACTGGGTGGGGGGGGGCTTTTGACTGCAGGAATTGCTCAAGCACATAAGCACCTTGAAGTTTTTTTTTTTTTTTTTTTTTTTTTTTTTTTTTTTTTTGAGACAGAGTTTTTTGCTCTTGTTACCCAGGCTGGAGTGCAATGGTGCAATCTCAGCTCACTGCAACCTCCGCCTCCTGGGTTCAGGCAATTCTCCTGCCTCAGCCTCCTGAGTAGCTGGGATTACAGGCACGTGCCGCCATGCCCAGCTAATTTTTTGTATTTTTAGTAGAGACGGGGTTTCACCATGTTGACCAGGATGGTCTGATCTCGGCCTCGTGATCCACCCGCCTTGGCCTCCCAAAGTGCTGGGATTACAGGCGTGAGTTACCACGCCCAGCCCTGAAGTATGTTATTAAGATAAAAGAAACACTTTTGCTTCTGTCTGTTCCATCATGGTGTGCCTCTCTCAGGATGCCTTTAAGCACAGGTAGAATACCAGCCAGCCCACTGTGTCTCAGAGCATTAAGATATTTAGAGGGCTGGGCATGGTGGCTCATGCTTGTAATCTCAGGGCTTTGGGAGGCCGAGGCAGGTGGATCAGGTCAGGAGTCCAAGACCAACCTGGCCAAGACAGTGAAACCCCATCTCTACCAAAACTACAATAATTAGCTGGGTGTGGTGCCGGGTGCCTGTAATCCCAGCTACTCCGGACACTGAGGCAGAGAATTGCTGCAACCCAGGAGGCAGAGGTTTGCAGTGAGCCGAGATGGCGCCACTGCACTACAGCCTAGGCGACAGAACGAGCCTCCATCTCAAAACGAAAAAAGATATTTAATCATCTGACATTCCATGAAGTCCAGTGTTAGGCAGGAGCTGCTCCCGTGACTCAGTGGCATCAAGCTGGTCTGTATCCAAGCAGTTCTCTTGGTGTTCTTGCATGATCGCAAGATGACTGGGTCAGTGGCACCCAGCCTGCTGACCACAACCCTGATGAAAGCGTGGGAGGGTCTCTGTGGCTGAGCATCCGGCCTCCTTACTGCCACTCTGACAATGTCAGGTGTGATTTCCAGCACTGTTTGTCCTGGAGTAACGGGAGTAAGAGCCACTCCACAAGACCCTGGAGGCCTGGTAGATGAGTATGTCCCCTTCATGGGTGAAATGGTGGGATGCTGGGGTTGTGTGGTCAGAGGTATAGGTGAAATAGAGTTGGCCACAGGTTGATAGTTGCAGAAAGATGCAGGTGGACACATGGGTTCATTAGGTGCTCTGCTTTTTTGTTTTTTGGTATTTTTTGTTTGTTTTTGTTTTTTGAGACGGAGCTTTGCTCTGTTGCCCAGGCTGGAGTGCCGTAGTGCTGAGCTTGCTGCAACCTCCACCTCTGGGGTTCACATGATTCTCCTGCCTCAGCCTCCCAAGTAGCTGGGATTACAGGCATGTGCCACCATGCTTGGTTAGTTTTTTGTATTTTTAGTAGAGACAGGTTTTACCATGTTAACCAGGCTGGTCTCGAACTCCTGACCTCAGGTGATCCACCCACCTAGGCCTCTCAAAGTGCTGGGATTATAGGCGTGAACCATTATATGTATATAAAGGAAACTGTCACTAAAAGCATTATAAAATGAGGCAAGCAAGAGAGGAAGGGAAATGGAATAAGGGAGCTTGCAGCGTATGCATCACCAGTCATGCTGTGAGCACCCCTGAGCTGGTGCCTCTTGACTCAGAATCAGGTAAACTGTTAAAAGATCACAGTTGCCCTTAACTGCTCCAGAGATAACAGCTTGAACATGATGAAACCTTAACTTTCCCCTTTGAGATGATTCTTTTTTTGTTTTAATGAGACAGGGTCTGACTGTTGTTCAGGCTGGAATGCAGTGGCACAATCATAGCTCACTGCAGCCTTGACCCTCCTGCCTCAGCCTCTGAAGGATCTGGGACTACAGATAAACTACTCGGCTTTTTTTTTTTTTTTTTTTTTTGTCGGCAGGAAGGGGTATTGACAAGGGTCTTGCCCTGGTGCCCACCACGCCCGGCCTGAGATATTCTTTCAGGTCCTGCATACCAGTGCAAGTACTGATGCCAGCTGGTCTGAAGGACCCCACAGAAGCTGACTCACGAGGAATGCAGTTTACACATTCTGATGAATCATCCTCCTTACTGTGACCAATCAGCAGCCCCCATGTTCCAGCCCCTCACCTCCCATGATCCCCTTAAAAACCTCAGCTCAGAACTCCTCAGGGAGATGTTTTTGAGAAGAGGTCTCCTTTCGCCTCCTCACCCAGGTCTTACTAAACTTTCTCTGCTGCAGACCCTGCTCTCAGTGTCATGGGTCTGTTACTCTGCAGTAGCCACAGGAACACTGTTGGTCTTATCACACGGGGACCTCATTTAACCTCAGCTCTTTAAGGGCCCTATCTACAAACTGTCACATTGGGGGTCAGGGCTTCAACACAGGAATTTAGAGGGACACAGTTGAGTCCATGTCCTTGCCTGCTCCCAGAAGGGTCAGGTTGTGCTGGTAAGCACTGCTCTGCTAAACTCCCAGCCCTCACAGATAGATGTGGCCAGGTAACTAAGATGCTGTGAATGAAACTTGAGCAGATGTGGCATGTGGACCTCCAAACAGCAGACTTGCATACCCCACGGTCCCTGACACCCCTTGTTACAACCCAGCCTTGACCAGGCAGATGATGGCAAGAGACAAAGTTCCAC